GTCAGCAGTCTTGCGCAGCGTGGTGCAGGACACTGGGCTGACAGAAGGGCTCTCCTCCTAAGGCCCGAGCTCAATGGAGTTTGGTGCAGGCCTGTTCTGTGGGAGGGGCTCAGAGAGCTTCTGAAAGATGGGTGCAGCCAGGTCTGGGGACCCCACCGCAAAGCGCGTCTGAGAAATGCGTTTGCTCTAGGTTCCTGGACTCAGGCTCGCCTCAAGGATCACGGGCTGGCCGAGAACGACCTCTGCCCGCTGTGCCTGGCTGGCAGGGGCACTTTGAACATTGGGGGTTCGAGTGTGAGGCCTTCGACGGAGACAGACGTCAATGCCTCTCTGCTGCCTGTGCCAAGGCGGCGAGACGAGTAAAGGACTGGGGGCGGGATCTTGAGAAATATGCTGCTGGGGTGCTCCCTCATCCTCGTGAGCTGGTTCCCCCTCCTCTTGCTCGTTCCTCCTGTAAAGTGGTGTGGTTTAACAGGCCAGCCTCTGGTAGGCTGAGTGGTAGAATTTTTACCGACGGTTCGGCGATTAACCTTCAGCGCGTTGAAACCCGCAGGGCTGGCTGGAGTCTGGTCCAAACTAACGAACTTGGAGATGTGATTTCTGCTGCCGATGGGCCTGTGCCCTGGGAAGATGCCCCGTGGCAGCAGGCTAGAGATGGCGAGGACTACGCCTACAAAGTGGCGTCAGAGCTTGTTGCACCATTTTCCGGCAACGCGTATTCAACGGGTTGCCGGGGGGGCCTTTGGTTGTGTCTGGGACAGTGCCAGCAGCTGCTCTTCCCAGAATCCTCGGGCGCACCTCTGGACCAAGGTTTGACATGTTTTTGAAAATGGTTTGCCTGCTTCCAAGGTCAAAAGCCATGCGACGGCCTCGGATGTCTTGAATTGTAGATTCTCGGGGGCACGGCGCCTCGGCAATAAGCACGCGGACAGATGTGCCAGGCTAGGAGCTGCGTTCCACCCGTTGCCTGAGCAGTCTCTTGAGCTTCGTTCCCGCTTGATTGAGCACCAGAAAGAGCTGCTCAGGTGGGGCAGCATGCAAGATGCTTTTATGGCCGCGAGGGGTTGGGTGGATTCGTCTGGTTTCCCTGGGCACGTTGCGGTGGATTGTGATTCGCCGAATTCCACCCAATCTAGGCCATCAAAGCGTGCAGCTGTCAGGCAGATGAATATTCTTTCCGAGTTTGGGCGTCGACGGTGGGCGCCGCGCATCGATTTCAAGGTGCCCATTTTGTCTGACGCGCCCGATGATGCACCTGGGGAGGTGCTTAGCGAAACCACCCTCCTGCCCAGACTGCAGGGCCACAACCTTTGCAAAGCAAAGGTCGTCGTCAGGGACGGCGGGGGGGCTGGTGGGAGTGGGTGGGTGACCTGCTGCTTGAAGTGTGGTGGATATGCCTGGTCTGGGGTCTTTTCCTGGGCGGCCAAGTGTCAGAGCACGCCCCGGACTAAGGACCTCAGGCAGCAGAGGTCCAGATTTCTGCGAGGAGTTTTCCCGTCTTTGGGGAAGCCGCATGCAGGTTGGACTGTTTCAGGACATGGACCCCCGTCTCCATTTGACTTGTTGGCCTTGATCAGGTCGGCCAATAGATGGGGTCCAGGTCCGGCAAGCTGAAGACAATGAGCAGGCAGCTTGTTTCCCAGGCTTGTGGGAAGAATGTTGGGGCCCTGCCCAGCTTCTTGCAAGGTTTGGATGTGTGCGGCCCGCTCCGTAGTCACATGTTACTAGGAGCGTGTGTTGTTGTTTGGGGCGGTTGGCATCGACGGCCGCTTCCATTGAGCACAGTACAGGAGGATGAGGAGGAGGAGGAGAGGGGGGAGGAGGAGGAGGAGGAGGAGGAGGAGGAGGGGAGGAGGAGGAGGAGGAGGAGGAGGAGGAAGGGTAGGAGGAGGAGGAGGAGGAGGAGGAGGAGGAGGAGGAGAGGAGGAGGGAGGAGGAGGAGGAGGAGGAGGAGGAGGAGGAGGAGAGGAGGAGGAGGAGGAGGAGGAGGAGGAGGAGGAGGAGGAGGAGAGGTCTTGGTGGTCCTTGCGGCCTCTGGGGGCGTTTGTGATGCCTCGGGGAAGCCTCTTGGAGCCCCCATTGGTCTCTCGTGGGGGCGTTTGGGGGGCCGCTTGGGGGCCTCGCTGGTGATGCTGGTCGCCTCCCTTGTGGTGTTGGGCGCCCCTTTGGGCTCGCTTGGGGCCACCCTGGAGGAGATCGCACCAAGAAGTGGGGGGAATCAGGTCAGGCCCCCTCCTCGTGAGCTCCAATATCGCCTCTTGGGGGCCTCTTGGGCCGCTCTTGGGCGCCTCTTGGGCGTTTTGGGGGCCGTATTGGAGCCCTCGTGGGCCTCTATTGAGCCATCTTGGTGTCATTTTGAGGCCCAAAAGGGCTCATCGGAAACGAACGTGCGAGAAGCCCAACCACACCTTGATTGATACAAAGGTTTGGGTAGTTTGTGGCCTCTTTGGGGGGGGCCCTGGGAAGCTCAACGGGCACTCGGAACCCCCTTGGGGGCTGCTTTGGGCCGCCTTGGAGGCATGTCGGAGGCTATCTTGAGCGACGCTGAGGTATGTTGGGCCATTTTGGAGGCCGTCTTGGACTGCCGATGGCCCTCTTGGGGCCATCTTGGGCAGTCTGTCGGTTCGCCCCCCCCTCCTCCCCCCCTCCCGGGCCCAGGGGAGGGGGTAGGGGGAGGGGTCAAGCTACCCATCCGCCCGCAAGCCGTCTAGCTCACTCCCACCTGCCCTCCCTACGAATAAGCAACCGAGCCTGAGCATGTCCAGCGGTCGATTTTGGATGGACAGTTACTGAGAACCAAAGCCGACCCCAACTGCGCGACGTTTGGGCGAGGTGCGCCGCGCGTGCCAGGGGCGCCACGCGCGCCAGGCACCCCTAGGGCCCGAGCCTGCCAGGCACGCCTGGTGCGCCAGCTCCGAGTTCGCCAGGTGTGCCGCACACTCCAGCCGCGCCAGGTGCGCCGCCTTTCGGGGCACGTGCAGAGTGCGTCAGGTGAGCCTGCGCACGTGATACCACACATCGGGAAACATGTCGGCCCCCGCCATCCTTGTCGAAAACCGATGCCCATCATTGTGTCTGGTGGGCCTGCGCACAGCAGGCCACGTGTCACCACCCCCGCCGTCCCTATCAGAAAACACTTAACAGTGATCGCGGCATGGCCGCGCATGATCCAGATTTAGCCGCGAGGTGCATGTTAGGATTGTTTTTTTGGGGGAGTGAGGGATGATAGCCCTGCGCACAGCAGGGAATCTGCCGACACCCCCGCCGTCCTTGTCAAGAAACAATGCAAAGTGCTCGCGGGCCTCACGGACATGGCTCAAGACTGTGCCCCAAAGTGTATGTTGCATTGTTGTTCGACGGGGATGGTGGGGGGGGGCGTCCGTAGCCATTTTGGCTCAAGCCATTTTTGCTCAAGTGTGGTTGACACGCAGGCATATCGCGCCACCAGTTTAGTGTTGTCTCGCCAGCCGGGCTTTCGCCATGTTCGGTCTGTGTAAGTCCACGCCGAAATCCCAGGCAACGGAAGTCGTGGGAGCGGCGAGGGCCGACGTTGTTGGGGCGGCGGGGGCCGACGTTACTCGGGAAGATGTGATCGCTGTGCAGAACGCATGGGCGGGCGCGATCAAAAGCATTTCGAAGATTTACAAGGAGAACGGCGACTACGTCCAGGCCGCTGCTACCGCAGCTGGTGAGCTCTACGCCTACGGTAAGTACGACGTGCTTTTCAAGCCGACCAAGGCTGCTCAGCACCAGTTCCGGCCCAAGGCCGAGGAGGCCATGTCCTATTTTGTCGGCTGCAAGGCTGTCGATAATGGGTACGATGAGGACGGCGGTTTTGCGATCAATGGTGGCAAGGGCTGGTCAGATTGCGTGTACGACAACCACCAGATAGATCTCAATGGTCATGTCGCCATCGCCATGGGCAACTATTATTTCACCTGCGCAACAACTGGAGAGAAGTCCAAAGTCGAGTACACCTTTGGCTACCAACGCTGCGATGACGGTAAGGTTCGCATCTTCTTGCACCATTCGTCCGTGCCGTTCACCGCCTCCAGTAAGGCAGCGGACCCCAAAGCAAATATGGCGGCCAGCACAGCAGCGGTCACCAGGGAAGATGTGATCGCTGTGCAGAACGCATGGGCGGGCGCGATCAAAAACATTTCGAAGATTTACAAGGAGAACGGCGACTACGTCCAGGCCGCTGCTACCGCAGCTGGTGAGCTCTACGCCTACGGCAAGTACGACGTGCTTTTCAAGCCGACCAAGGCTGCCCAGCACCAGTTCCGGCCCAAGGCCGAGGAGGCCATGTCCTACTTCGTCGGCTGCAAGGCTGTCGACAAAGGGTACGCTGAGGACGGCGGTTTTGCGATCAACGGCGGCAAGGGCTGGTCGGATTGCGTGTACGACAACCACCAGATCGCACTCAAGACCGATGTCGCCATCGCCATGGGCAACTATTATTCAATCGCTTTGCTCATTCCGCCGGCCCTGGAGCGCTATTTGGGGCCTCTTGGGGCCGTCTTGGGGGCCTTTTGGGGGCTTCTTGGGAGCGTCTTGGGGCTCCTTGGCGACGTCTTGGGCTCCCCTGGGACCTCTTAGGGGGCTCTCGGGGGCCCCTTGGGGCGGGAGGGGGGGCACTCGATTGCAGCCACCCCCTCGGAGTTCACGATCCTCGCGACGGGGTGGCGAAGAATAGCCTCCCTCCTGGGGATCGCCCGGGATCCGGCCGGGGATCAGCCGGGGTACTTTTCGTCCGGGGGCCCCCAGGGGCCGCCCCGCGCGCGCGAACTAGAAATATTGTTGAGTAGTTACTGGAGATCTTAGCACGCCTCTGGCCCGTTGGGCCAGCGAATTTCACCTGCGCAACAAGTGGAGAGAAATCCAAAGTCGAGTACACCTTTGGCTACCAACGCTGCGACGACGGTAAGGTGCGCATCTTCCTGCACCATTCGTCCGTGCCATACGCCGTCTCCAGTAAAGCAGCGGACCCCAAGGCAAATATGGCGGCCAGCACAGCAGCGGTCACCAGGGAAGATGTGATCGCTGTGCAGAACGCATGGGCGGGCGCGATCAAAAGCATTTCGAAGATTTACAAGGAGAACGGCGACTACGTCCAGGCCGCTGCTACCGCAGCTGGTGAGCTCTACGCCTACGGCAAGTACGACGTGCTTTTCAAGCCGACCAAGGCTGCCCAGCACCAGTTCCGGCCCAAGGCCGAGGAGGCCATGTCCTATTTCGTCGGCTGCAAGGCTGTCGATAATGGGTACGCTGAGGACGGCGGTTTTGCGATCAATGGTGGCAAGGGCTGGTCGGATTGCGTGTACGACAACCACCAAGTCGCAGTCAAAAGTAGTATTGCCATCGCCATGGGCAACTATTATTTCACCTGCGCAACAACTGGAGAGAAGTCCAAAGTCGAGTACACCTTTGGCTACAAACGCTGCGAGGACGGTAAGGTTCGCATCTTCCTGCACCATTCGTCCGTGCCGTACGTGGCCGTGCAAGCGAAGGCCCCTGCTGCCGAACTCGATGTGACGTTAGTCGGTGCGTAAGAGGCCCGTATGATTCTTTCCAGCAAGTCTGCATCCAAGAGGCGTTGAGCTTCCACTCATCTTCGTGTGCATTATGGTTTCGCGCTCCCCTCCCCATTCCCTGGGGCGGTGTTTGCGCCTCAGAATTTGTCCGCTAGGTCTATCTCGCTAGCGATTCTTAAGTTAACCGGGTGTTCGATGAGCGTTCTCGCCCCCATCTTTTCCCCAAGCAAATCTTTCATTCTTCCTCTCTCTCTCTCTATCTATATAGAGTCGCCGTCGCAACTTGTATTTTCCATCCCGGAGCAGGCGCTGTATAGCGCGTCCATCGCCGTCGCACATGGCACTTTTCCATCCCGGAGCAAATGTTTTTTTTCCCATCCCGGAGCAGGCGCTGTATAGCGCGTCCATCGCCGTCGCAAACGGTATTTGTCCATCCTGGAGCCGGCGCTGTATAGCGCCCGCCATGTGCGGCTCCTCGAGGGCGGGGCGGCGCGGCCCTCCCTGCGGATGGTGCAGTGCCCTCGTCTGCCTTCCTCTTTTGCCTGCTGCTCAGGCTGTCGAAAGTCGGACGTCGAGATCCAACGCCGAGAGGCAGGGGTCTGGCTCCGCTGGGCCGTCTGGCCTCTCCCCCCCCCTCCTGGAGCAGGCGCTGCACAGCGCCTTCATCGCCGTCGCAAGCGGTGTTTTTTGGCCATCCTGGAGCAGGCGCTGTATAGCGCCGCTTGCGGCTCGAGGGCGGGGCGGCGCGGCCCTCCCCGTGGAAGCGGGGGCGGCGCGTGCACGCCCTCGGCCTGCTGCAGGCCACCCGTCGAGTGAGCACTGAGGGAGGGCGCTCGCTCGCCCCGCTTTGTGCTGAGGTCGCTCCTCCATGTCCTCGCCAAAGCGCTGCGGACTCCCCGAGCCGATAGCTGGCGTGGCGGCTGGACCTGGCGGGTGCCGATGGTCAGACGGGGTTTGGACTTCGCGACGCTCTCGCCGTCAGTTTGAGCAGCCTAGGCCCTAGGCGTAGTAAGGGCGCTCGCTCGCCCCCCTTTGTGCTGAGGTCGCTCCTCCATGTCCTCGCCGAAGCGCTGCGGACTCCCCGGGCCGATAGCTGGCGTGGCGGCTGGACCTGGCGGGTGCCGATGGTCAGACGGGGGTTGGACTTCGCGACGCTCTCGCCGTCAGTTTGCGATTCGTGAGTTTTAGCGGACCGCCCCTGGGACTCAAGCTCAGACACGACTCGCAGCTGAGGTGCGCTTGCTCAGGCAGCGCGTCTCGAGTTTGCCTGCGAGGTTGGTCGCGGCGGCAGTGGTGGCGAGCCGTCGTGCGCACCGCCCGCGCTCCCGAGTGCAGCGCGGCGACCGCGTGCGCGCGTCTTGGCTGCGTGCGCTGTTTTGTAGAGCGAGCTGTGTACGCGTGCACTCCTTCACATGCTCGCCGCTGAGTTGCAGTAGGTTGGATCTGCCAGGCGCCGCCCGCAGTGCGAGGCGCGTAGCCGCTGGTCTTTCTCTGCGAATTGATGCCAACCAGGCTCCGGCGTCGCGCCGATTCCACGAGGCCGGCGGAGGAGAAGTTGCAGGAGAGTCCCCCCCCCAAAAAGGGATGGTGGGGGGTGGCGCATCGGTTTGGCCGCGCATGCTCCAAATGTGGAGGCAGAGTGCGTGTTGTATTGTTCTTTCACAGGGACGGTGGGGGGCTGGTCGTTATGGTGTCGGCATGGTGTCCTCATGGTGCCTGGTTGGCCCCTGGCCGCCTGGGGGAGGGAGTGCATGGATGGGCAATTACTGGGAACCAAAACTGAGACCAGGTGAGCGACGCTTGGGCGAGGTGCGCCGCGCGTGCCAGGGGCGCCACGCGCGCCAGGCACCCCTGGGGCCCGAGCGTGCCAGGCACGCCTGGTGCGCCAGATGCGCCACGTGCTCCGAGTTCGCCGGGTGTGCCGCACACTCCAGCCACGCCAAGTGTGCCACGTTCGGGGCACGTGCAGATTGCGTCAGGTGCGCCTTTGCACGTGACAGCACACAGGAAACGTGTCGGCCCCCGCCATTTTTATTGGTAACCAATGCCCATCATTGTGTCTGGTGGGCGTGCGCACAGCAGGCCATACGCCACCACCCCCGCCGTCCCTGTCAAAAACCACTTCACAGTGATCGCGGGGTGGCCGCGCATGATCCAGATTTAGCCGCGAGGAGCATGTTATATTGTTTTGTCCCCGACCATCGTGTGGTGTTGGGTCCTCGTTTTGAAGAGACAGCGCCCCGCGTTCCTCCTCTCCTCCTCCTCCTCCTCCTCCTCCTCCTCCTCCTCTTCCTCCTTCCCTTTGCTCCTCCTCCTCCTCCTTTTCTTCCTCCTCCTTCCCCTCCTCCTCCTCTCTCCTCCTCCTCTCCTCCTCCTCCTCCTCCTCCTCCTCCTCCTCCTCCTCCTCCTCCTCCTCCTCCTCCCCCCCCCCCTGCTCCCATCCCTGCCTTTGCTCACCGCATGTCCACGATTTCGGTACACCACTCACACGTTCCGTGGCCCCATCAGGAGCTCCACCGAAGGCCCCAGTGGGGGGGCCCACATGCGTTCGCCACACCCAGTACAGCGCTTCGTGGCCCCATAGTGAGCTCCACCGAAGGCCCCAGTTGGGGTGTCCGCATGCTTCCGCCACACCCAGTACAGCCGTGTCGTAGCCTCATTCGGAGCTCCACCGAAAGCCACCCAAGGAGAGTGCCCGCATGCGTCTGCCACACCCAGTACAGCGTTTCGTGGCCCCATAGGGGACTCCACTGAAGGCCCCAGTGGGGGTGCCCGCATGCGTCCGCCACACCCGGTTCAACGCTTCGTGGCCCCATAGGGAGCTCCACCGAAGGCCCCAGTGGGGGTGCCCGCATGCGCCCGCCACACCCAGTGCAGCGCTTCGTGGCCCCAGAGCGAGCTCCACCGAATGCCCCAGTTGGGGTGCTCGCATGCGTCCGCCACATCCAGTACAAGTCTTCGTGGCCTCATAGGGAGCTCCACCGAAGGCCACAGTGGGGGTGCCTGCACGCGTCCGCCACACTCAGTACAGCGCTTCGTGGCCTCACAGGGAGCCCCACCTAAGGCCCCAGTGGGGGTGCCCGCATGCGTCCGCCACACCCAGTACAGCGCTTCGTGACCCCATAGGGACCTCCACCGAGGGCCCAAAGGGGGTGCCCGCATGCGCCCGGCACACCCAGTACAGCGCTTCGTGGCTTCATAGGGAGATGTACCGCCACACCCAGTACAGCGCTTTGTGGCCCCATAGGGAGCTCCACCGAAAGTCCCACCCATTCGTCCCCTCCCCCCTGCCCGCACTGCCCCGTGCCTCGTTCTTCATGCGGCACGTTGTGTGTGTGCGAGCAGAGGGTATACCGCGTGCGCCATTCGGGGTTTGCGTGCCCTCCTCCTTCCTCCTATCTCCCTCGCTGCTCTCGCAGCTGCATATGGTTGGGTCTTTCGTCAGGCTCATATTTTGTTAGGGTGTGTAGCCCTGCGCACAGCGGCGCCGCCCCATTTGGGCACACCCCTCACACGTTTCGTGGCCACAGGGAGCTCCACCTAAGGTCTCAGTGGCGCAGTCCGCATGGCGGCGCCGCCCCGTTTTGGCATACCCCTCGCACGCTTCGTGGCCCCATAGGGAGCTCCATCTAAGGTCCCAGTAGCGCAATCCGCATGGCGGCGCCGCCGCATTTTGGCGCACCCGTCTCGCACGCTTTGTGACCCCATAGGGAACTCCACCTAAGGTCCCAGTGGCGCAGTTCGCATGGCGGCGCCGCCCCATTTTCGCACACACACACGCACACACACGCACACGCACACGCACACGCACACGCACACGCACACGCACACGCACACGCACACGCACACGCACACGCACACGCACACGCACACGCACACGCACACGCACACACACACACACACACACCTCACACGTTTCGTGGCCCCATAGGGAGTTCCACCCAGGGCCCCAGTGGCACAGCCCGTATGGCGGCGCCGCCCCATTTTGGCGCACCCCTCACACGTTTCGTGGCCCCGTGGCCCCATACGGAGCTCCATCTAAGGCCCCCGTGGCGCAGTCCGCATGGCGGCGCTGCACACCCTTCACAAGTTTCGTGGCCCCATAGGGAGTTCTACCTAAGGTCCCAGTGGCGCAGTCCGCATGGCGGCGCCGCCCGATTTTGGCGTACCCCTCACACGTTTCGTGGCCCCATAGGGAGCTCCACCGAAGGTCCCTGTGTCGCAGTCCGCATGGCGGCACCGCTCCATTTTGTTGCACCCCTCACACGTTTCGTGGCCCCATCTTGAGTTCCGACCTGCCCCATGTCGGCACACTTGTCACGCGCCTCGTGGCCTCATAAGGAGAACAATTGAAGACGATACTAACAATGACGGTATTGACAACTGCATACGGTGGGGTTCTTTGTCAGGCTAAGTTTGGCTAGGCCGACACGTGTTGTGTTTGTCGGTGGTGCGCTAACTATGCAGCGTTGCTTGCTCCATGTCGCCGCGGCGCCCGACACAAGGATTAAACATGCTTATATTAAGTGCAAGAATCGAGCGAGGCCTACCTTGCCCGCCAGCTTCCCTGTTTCCTTCCTGCACTGTTCAGTGCGAGAGGTAAGCGCTCCAAGGCGCGCCGCCAGGTCTGCGGGCGGCCCGCGACAACGCCCCGCTGGACCCCCCAGCAGCCCTCGCAAGTGGCGACCGCTTTCCAGATCGCAGCATCCCAAACATGGTGTCGAACCTGATTCTGCGCAGTGCGTCACTCCGCTGGACTCCGCAGCAGTCCTCGAAAGTGGCGACAGTTTCGCAGATCGCAGTCCCCCAGGGATGGCGAGGTTTAGTTTGAATCTGGGTAAGACGTCCTTCCGCTGAGCGACATGTTCGCAGCTCGCAGCCCCCCCAGGGATGGCGAGGCGTGACTTGAGTCCGCGTGAAACGTCACTCCGCTGGACCCCCCTAGGAGCCATCGGAAGTGGCGACAGTTTTGCAGATCGCAGCCCCCCAGGGGTGGCGATGTTTAATTTGAGTCCGCG